CAGCCTCGACCTGCTGGGCTCCGACGATCCTTCCGCCTCAGCCTTCCAAGTAACTGGAACTACAGGCGCGCGCTACCACGCCCGGCTAAATTTTTTTGATTTATTGTAGAGATGAGGTCTCGCCAAGTTACCCAGGCGGGTCTCGAACCCACGGGCTCAGGCAATCCACTCACCTCAGCCTCCCAAAGCACGGGATTACAAACTGAGCCACCGAGCCCGGCTGAGAAGCCTTTGTTGCATGCATATTCACATGATTCCCTTGAGACAGGATCAGAATAAGTTCTGTTTCAGAATCTCATTTCTCAAATGGCCCACTGAGGTTAAAAGTCTCCCTCAAGCCATCTAGCAAATCAATGCAGGCTCGAGGACAGCACTGAGGCCCCCTGGTTTCCCTTTTGCATGACCGAATGAGATAATGGAAATAAAAGCCCTTTGTTAATTGTGGAATAGCTATACCAACGTTAGTTTTTATCCTAGTTAAATAAATAGGTGATGCCAAAAGGGCTGTTAAATAATGATTATACCCCAAACCCAATCATGCCCTGAGACTATATGACTCACACTTAGGGGGCAGACACAGACAACAGACAAACTTACCTAAGCAGAATGTCTTGAAAAGACTTTTCAGAAGACGCCTAAGAATCTGGTTTTCTGCAGAGCATCTGGACCCAAAGTTGTAATATTTTTCTAGATAATCTCGAGGGTTAAAATGACTCAGATACATGTCCTTGGAGGTGAAGCCAGATCCCATTGTCTCAGTTCAGTGCCACTAGTCCCACTATCCTCTTTCCCTCGCCCCCAGAAGCCAGGAAGCCACCCTGCAGAAGTTGTCTTCCTGAACCTCAGTCTAGCAGTCTTCCTTCCTTCAGTTCAGCCCACCCCTTATACAGATAATTGGTTAAACACTAACTGAGAGAAATTGAGTACACATGTTCTTGGCTGTTTTGGGAAGTGTTGAAATTCCTGAGGAAGGGAGCCTAGAAGAAGAGGGGTGTGGTAGAGGGAGGAACGTAGCTGTATGAAACGCTTGGCCAAGGGGTGAAGGTCAGCTACCAGGCACTGTAGACGGGAAGGATCATCTGAGCTCATCAGAAAAACTGCTTAACTCCTAGAAGAACCCATAAGTCCGGAGAAATGGGTCATCTCCCAAAAGCATCATCATTCTTGTAATTCTTGTAGTGATTTCCCCACGGAAACAGAGTCACAAAGAATGGTTTGAATTTAAGCATGCAAAAGAAAGAAAAAAGAGAGGAAAAATCAGGACAGGAAATGTGTTTAGGGCTAAGGAATGTTGGCTAAAGGAATCTTAGATTGAAGTCTGGAAAGAGAAATTTTAAAAACATGCATAAGGCTTTCTGTAAAGTCTAGTCCAGCAATCCTGAAACCTTCTCCTCATGCACAGACACCCCCTCCATTCCTGCCCTAGGTGTGGGCAGCTTCACCCACCACTGCCACAGCTCAGCATTTGACAAGCACCTCTTCCTCATGCCTCCCTACTCCTTTCAGTCAATCCAAATCCTGACAGCTTTTGCAAAGTTAACTTTAAGCCTTTAAGAATTCTTCAAATCCTCTTTTCCGAACTCATCTTGCCCTAAGAATTTGTTCCACCCAGCCAGGCACTTGATTTTGTGATGTTGTCTACTTACTCCTGGTTTTGTCTCTGTCAATGTTTCTTTCCAAACTAAATTTTACATATATGGTAAACTGAATCACTAGCCCCTTCAGCTCAGGGACCATGGATAAGTTCTCTTTATATCCCCTACTCTACATCATGGTTTGGTCTACCAAGTAGGAATTAAAAACATTGGTTAATTAATTGACTGTTGTCATATTGCACCAAATGCAATGTCAGCAGGTGACCAGTATATTTCATGACTGGTGACTTAGTGAGAGAACATTTGACTACAAGGCACAGAAACTTAGTTGAAGTATCTCAAGTGAAAAGGTAATTTTTTTTTTTTTTTTTTGAGTTGGAGTCTCACTCTGTCACCTAGACTGGAGTGCAGTGGCCGCTCCCGGCCACCGCAGCCTCAACCTGCTGGGCTCTGGTGATCCTTCCACCTCAGCCTTCCAAGGAGCCAGAATTATAGGCATGCACTACCACGCTCAGCTGATTTTTTGATTTATTGTAGAGATGAGGTCTTGCTGCCCAGGTGGGTCTCGAACCTGTGGGCTCAGGCAATCCACTCACCTCAGCCTCCCAAAGACGCGGGATTACAGGCTGAGCCACTGAGCCCGGCTGATAATTTTTTTTTTGAGTTGGAGTCTCACTCTGTCACCCAGGATGAAGTGCATGGCACACTCACATCCACCCCATCTTCGACCTGCTGGGCTCCAGCGATCCTTCCGCCTCAGCCTTCCAAGTAGCTGGAACTATAGGTGCATGCTACCACACCTACCTAATTTTTAAAAAAAATTTATTGTAGAGATGAGGTCTCACCAAGTTTCCTGGGCTGGTTTCAAACCCACAGGCTCAGGCAATCCACTTACCTCGGCCTCCCAAGGTGCTGGGATTACAGGTTGAGCCACTGAGCCCAGCCAAAAGGTAATTATTAATAGGATCATATGATGGAAACAATTTTCAGAGTATCTAACTGGACCTTGTGAATCAAAAGATCATTAGGTCAATATCCTTTCTCGTTCTCTATTTCTTTGTGCTTCTCTTGGAGTGCTAGGGGCCTCTGCTCTCTGAAAACTGGTTTGTCTTTTTGCTCAACTGCACGTGGCTCTATTCTGATCATTCCAAATGGTGGCCTCTGCACTTGAACTTAGATCAGTCGTTGATCCCGCTCATTAAGTGGTGTTGAGGCGATGAAGGGGGAGTGAAGGAAATCTGTGTGGTACAAAGACCGGTTGCAAGAAGTTAGATACGCAGGCAAATTGTCTCAGATGACTGCAACTGTTGGATCTTCAAAAGTCAGCTCACAGACTCAAAGGATGTAGAATCAGAATTTTTTTCACCCTTTCCAGAAGTTTCTCAGATTTGTAGTCGGAATCAGATTTTATCACAGATAGAAATCTGCTCCCTTGCAATGGCCCTCAACTCAACCTTATATAAATGTTATCGTTATGAATATATAAATGCACATATAAGTGAAGAAACAAAGGGATAGAAGAAAGGAGGGAAGGAAGAAGGAAGAAAGGCATGTCATTTCCATGTAGTCTGGGTGTCTTTGTGAACTGGCCCGAGGCACTGCCGTCACTGTGCTGACACTTCCTGCTTCTGCTGACTGCCCTAGTAAGGGGGCACAGCAGGAAGCATCCAGAAAGTCAAAGGACACAAGCTGTTATCCTGGTTTGTTACCAACAACTTATAAAACAGGTAGTTAGAAAAACTAACTCTAGTTGGTTTTTTGAGTCTGTGTGACTATTAAGCCTCAGTTTTGGTATGTAAAATGGATATTATGATATCTACTTTACTATTTAATCCAAGGTATTGAGAAATTAAGATTATAGATTTTTCTTACATTGAATCCTCACATTAGGAAATGGACCCTATTCTTACTCGTGGATCAATTTACCAGGGAACTTTATTTTTTTAATTTATTTATTTACTTATTTATTTATTTTTTTAGTGAGAGTCTCACTTTGTCACCTAGGCTAGAGTGTAGTAGAGAGATCATGGCTCACCATAGCCTCGGCCTTTTGGGCTCAGGCAATCCTTCTGCCTCAGTCTCCTGAGTAGCTGAAACTACAGGTGTGCATCACTACACCTGGCTCTTTTTTTTTGCTTTTTGTATAGACAAGGCTTTGCTATGTTGGCCAGGCTGGTCTCTAACTCCTGGGCTCAAGCAATGTTCCTACCTTGGTCTACAAAAGTACTGAGGTTACAGGCTTGGGCTACCATGCCCAGTCTACAAGGGAACTTTAGAAATACTGGTGATATGGCTTATATATGGCCTTGATATTGTATCTCTTTTCCCTAACTCCATCATTTATTTTTTCCACCCTTTCCAGAAGTTTCTAAGATTTATAGTCAGAATCAGATTTGATCACAGATAGAAATCTACTCCCTTGTAATGGCCCTCAATCCAGCCTTATATAAATGTAATAATTATGAATATGTAAATGCACTTACAAGGGAAGAAACAAAGAGTTGGAAGGAGGGAAGGAAAAAAAGCATGCTATTTCCATGTAGTCTGGGAATTTGGTTCACTGGTAGCTGTTCCTCCCTTGTGGTCTGCTGGAAGAGAATTTGGTTCATTATTTCAGGGAAAATATTGTTCCAATACTTAGCATACAAAAGAGCAAGGTAGTAGGGCACTCTCTTCCTAAATACCACATTCTAGACTACAAAGGTGCTGGATCAAATCTGTTGCTAGAATATATTGTATAAACCAAGGTATAATCACTAGCATTGCTTATGTTTGTTGAAAAAAAATTCCACATATCTCTAGCAATATGTCTGAATAGTTCTCTATACCTTCTTCCTGAAAGCCACTAAAAGTGCTGATATATAGATATAGATGTGTAATATTTTACATCTATCTGCAGTAGAAGAGTTAAGCAGAATGTTAGACATAATGGAAGAGAGGATTTGTAAATTGGAAAATAGTCTAAAAGAAAGTATTCAAAATATAACAAAAGGAGAAAGAGTAATAGAAAAAAATAAAAGAGAAAGTTAAGAGTCATAGAGTATGGAGTACAAAGGTCTAATATATGTCAGATTAGAGATCCTAATGAAGAGGAGAGTTAAATGGATCAGAATAGTATTTGAAGATAAAAAGAAAAATAATTTTCTAGAAATGATAAATACTGTATCAGTTAGAATCCAGTCAAGAGACAGAAACCTACACTAGTACTTTGAGTTGGAAATTTTTAATATAAAATTTAGTGGAAAGAATTATTAACTAAGTAAAAAGTGGTTAACTGCTAAGAAAGTAAAGACCAACTCTGAGGTGTTAACAGAAATAACAAATGCAGAAAGTCACTGGGACAGAATAAGGAAACTGGGGAAAACTTAGAGGATGGACCCATAGAACTAAGTGCTGAAATGCTCTGATGAGAAAGCAAAGCTGCCGCAGGAATGCTGGCCACCTGAGGGACCCAAGAAATGCTGCCACAGGGATGAGACATGCACTGAGTCAGCAGTTTGGTGAAAAAAATCTTCACTAGAGACTGATCACAGAATCACAAACTCACAAATAGACCTCAGGGGAAAGAGCCCAGGAAGTAGTAAGTCTCTTCCTCCTACTCCAGAATTTCTCAGGATAGAACTTAATATAGAAGCACTGGCAAAGAAGAATTGTGTTAGCAAAGTCAAATCTGTAAACTTGTTCAATCTGTAATTGGAGAATAGGCTAAAAGAAAGTACCCACAATGTAGCAAAGGGAGGATGAGAAATGGAAAAAATAAAAGAGAAAGATAACAGACATAGAGTAGCTCTCAGATCACAACATACAGAAGGTTGGGTTGGAGCTGTGAAACAATGAATTAATAACTGGCATAGATGTCAATACACAGAATCAGAAATAGGAAATATTTATTGAGCCCCTAATTTTGTGCAGGCACTGTTCTATGTGTTTTACACATACTAACTCATTTAACCTTTGTAACAGCTCTTTGAAGGACATTTAGAAGTCCAGTGAATCCAAAGCAGGATATGTGAAAAGCAATCCACTCCTAGATATTTTATGGTTCAAACTGCAATACTGAAGACTATGAGAAGGTGTTAAAAACATCCAGAGAAAAAAACACAAGTGACAGTTACACTAAGAGTTGACTTTGCAGGATAACAAGAAAACCAAAAGACAAGAGAACGATACTGTCAATGTGCTTATACAAAGTAACTGTCAACTTAGAATGATGTAACTGAAAAAGTCTTAAGATCAGGACAAAATGAAGAAATTAGCAGACAAAAACTAAAAGCTCATGGTTAGTAGTTCCTCTCTACAGAAAATTCAAATGTGTCTCAGACAGAAGGAATGTGAATCTTGATGAAAGTCTGAGATTCA